TTTTTTTTTCAACAGCTCTGATTGGTACATTTCGATCCTTGCTGTTCACTCAGTAATATGCTCCCTCGGCGGTCCGCTGTCGCACGGCTCTCCTGTTGTTGTGTTTTTTGAACGTGGGCATCCACGCCTCTGGAATTTCTATTCCACTATCCTTGTTGATGTTGTCAGGGTGAAGTCCCATATGAATTGCCTCTTTGACCTTGCGCGTGTAGTAATTAGGGTTACGATCAATAAACTTTACTTCGTTCCAGAGTGGCTTGTGTCCGGTGTTGTGGGCGACCTCTGAAACTGCGGAGATCTCGGTACGGAGTCGAATGTCTTGATCATGCTTCTTAATTCTGTCTTGCATAGGTCTTCCAGTCTTTCCGATGTATACCTTGCCGCATTCACAGGGAATCCTTTAAACTACGCCATCTTGCCAGTGTTTAGCCGGGTCGACCACGTCTTTTGGTCGTACTAACTGAGATCTAAGTAGTCTGCGACTTGAAAACAGCGCGTACGCCTTGTTGTTGTAGGCAACGGCGAAGCTGTTCGGACAGACCTTTCACATAAGGTAAAACCGAAGTAGCTTTGAACTTGTTGGCGGGTTCGGCACTGTTGTTTGGTTTTCCGGTCTTGGTAATTTTCTGCAAGAAAGAAAAAGGATAACCATTAGAAACCAGAACAGATGACAGGTGGTTTTTTCTCCTCGGAGATGACGGAGGATTTTGTTACGGGACGTTTGGTGCGCTCGTTAAGGCACTTAACAATACCGCGTTTTACTGATTGAGGGTGGTATGAATCATACGCTAAGTATTGATCCGTGTGCGTGGGCTTCCTGTATACGCTGATGGTGAGGCGGCCGTCAGGTTTTCTTAAAACTGCGGTGTCTAGGAAGGCGAGTTTGTCGTCTTTCTCTGTCTCCATGCTGAAGCAGGTGGAAGGCTACTGATTGATTATATGCTGTAAGAAGTCATCCAGGATGGTAAAGGTATCGTCCGCGTAGCGTTTCCATATCCTAGGCTCGTAGGATCACAGGCTGCCCAAGCTCACGTCTTGAGAAAAAGCCAACGAGTAATTCATGAACGCGTCACGCGTTGTGTGACTCGGTGTTAAGTTACGAGAGGAACCGTTGAAAATTTCAACACGTTCTAAGGAATAGTGGGGGAACGAAATATGGTCGATTTACAACGGTAAATATTTCGAATTATGTGCCTGTGGTAGGATGATGTAGTTATCGCCTGTTCTTCGAAATTCTCCGTGTAGAGGTTAGCAATAACAGCGGAAACCGGACTCCCCATGGCGGCGCCGTCTTTTTGCTCGTAAATCGATCCGTTATACTGGAAGTATGAGGATCTCATTAATCAGTAAAACATTTGAGATAATGGGTTAATTTAGTGTCCTTCATCGAATCAAAAAGTATATAAATTATAATCATAGGATTTAACCTTGGTCCTTGTTTGCATTAATTGATCAAGTTTTTTTTTCTGTAATATTTTTAATGACCTCGTTTGGAGTGTATAGACATGCCAGAAACCATATCCACGTCACCTGCTCTGTCGATGGCATTGTGAAGACGATTCCGAGCCGGTATTTCGCATCATGTCTTGTGTTTCACTTAAAGGTGCATGGTGTGAGTCAGCCTCCGAAAAGGTCGAGGATCAGTCATCGTGCATCGCGGGGGGTGTTTTGTAGCCGAATGATCACCTTTACTGAACTGCTCAAGTGCGTCTTCCCCAAACTTAATTTCGTCCTAATTTTTTAAAATTGTGGACACGTTAGGTTTGGAGAAAGATTCAAGAATACTAACAGTACTGCTTTTAAGACTTTATTGAAAAGGTCACCTCTGCACATCAAAAGTTTCACTTGTTGTTTGAATGTGGAGTTTATGGCTAAAAAATGATAGGTAAATAAAAACAATCATATCAAATTACGTCTTCAATCGAATAAGAGCCACCCATCCACGGTCTTCCTTAGACTTAAATAAGCTCCCCGTGCATTTAACGCGACTCATTTATTATATCTCAGTTGGCTTTTAATACATTTTTACTTGACAGTAGCACCAGAATGTCGAGCTCGTACTTCAAATTTTATCATCAGTATAATACAGCGTAGTAATAAAAAATATGGTAAAAGCTACCACCGTCTTGAACATTGGATAATTGACACTTGAGGAAAGCAAAGTTTCTTTCCTTTATGTAAAATTCACCAAACTTTTAAACGAGCTCCTTTTCTCGATTTTCTTTGGAAGAACTAAGTTATACCTTAAACGAATTATTAATAGAAAGAGTCAGAGCTCCCTTAAGTTTGTCATCTTTATGGACTTCAAACTCAAGCGTCATTCGCTAGCGAAGCTGACAACTTCGTCGAATCAAAGAGGTCGAAATGGAAGACCATAGCGCGTGGTGATTTCACTCAACTGTTGGACGATAAAGTGGTGTCTTGCGCTTTTCAAGTCAGAGGCCAGACCTAAGCGTGCTCTTAAATGGAAAAATTGATTCCGAGACCACTCGTTTGGTTTCAGAACCTTGAAACAGACATCTAATCCACGTCATCAACTTGGTCTGTTTCTTTTGTAATGGAATCCTGTGACGTGGAAGGGTTGCGCATCATCCCGACGAACTCTAAAAAATAAGTAACAAAGTTTCAAAACTGAGGATTAAATTTTTATACTTTTGCTACTAACATAATGCGTTAATTTAATGGTCCAATCTAGCGGGAAAGCAAAGTACTTCCGGACTTTTTACTAGCTATCTGTTGACACTGACAGCTTCATACTACGCAAACCGACTCTGTAGAATAAAGGGTCTTGGAAGAAAAACTTTAAAATATAAATATTTTTGTTTATTTATTTGTTGGTAATTAAGCGACAAATTACACAATTTGACTCCCCCCTCCCAAGAATTTCTCAAAGTGGCCAAGAATTTCTCAAACAACTTGCAATAGATTTCAAGCAACAACTTTATTCGAGGAGGGAAATAATGGAATTAGGTCATTCTGTAATTCATGGGGTCTTGGAACTTGGAAAATTGTATGCAATTTCCTTTCCTCATTATTCATTTATTCATTACAGAGTCATGCAGGTCTGGTTTAAAAATCAAATTCCTTTGAGAGACTAAAAGATCCACCAGAATCTGGCCATGTTAGTAGGTCGAGAGTAGCGAGAACTCATATCTGAGAGAAAAAAGCTGAAGGTTCAGAGGTAATTTTGCCGATTTCTTTCGAAATCTCTCGCGCGCGTCCTCTCACACGCTCGTTCCGTAACACCTTCGCGTGGCTTCTTCTGCGCGTCACGTTCCGCAAGCACGAGTGCTTGATTATATCTAATGTGGAGTATCAAAACTGATTCTTCACTTGCCTTCTGGAACATCCAACACGGTTTCTGGACCCAGGCCACTTAGCCCTTCGTCGCCATAACTTTTCCTTAAAATGTCTCCTATGTGACTCGCACTGAAAGAAATCGGAAATGAAAATTATTTGAAGAAAACGGTTTTCTGTGATCCAAGGTGAGTTATTTTCTATAAAGAAAAAGCTGCGGGCACCGTTTTGCACAAGTAAGGCATTGTGCTGCTAACTCTAGTTTCTTTAGAGAGAGTTTAACACCGTCACTTTTGTTTACGGCAAAAAGTTAGGAATTCTAATCGTAGTCTGACAGAGATGAAGCGGTCTACTGGCTGGTGCGTTAGACTCCAAGTCGAAAACGCTCAGTTCAAACCCCAGCCACAACCACCGTGGTGTGTTCTTTGGCGGAACACTTATTTGATCAACCAAATCTATGAATAGATGATGAAAAACTGTTCGAGAGCCATCATTAAATGATTTGGGAGTTACCCTTGATTGACTAGTAACCCATTTTAGAGGGATGGCAATACCTACAATCACATTATGCTTGAGAAACTGCGGAAAGTTCCGGAAGGATGGCAAGGCATTTGAAAAGCTGAATTCCCGTTTGTTGAATCCGTTTTTAACTTTCGCTTTTTGATTGTTTTCCATTGTTTGGATGACCACAGTTATGGCAGACCGTTGTACCGTAAAAATGGGGAGGTATTTTCAACAAATGCTCAAGTTTAGGTCTTTAGCGCCTCTCTATGTTGCCAGATTTGTCGCTTAGCGGTAAGTCTGTAGATATCTCTTATTGTTCTTGATCAACACCATATGACAACAGTGTGATACAAAATTTGAGTAAATATCCTCGCAAGGCAATATAGTAATAGATCGATTAACTTTCTGTTATGAAACTTTTTAATAAAAAACAATGACCCCAGGGAGTATGACAGGATGCTCGGTGTAGAGGGAAACCTACCAGCTGTATGGCGGCTCATCTAGGTCTGAATCCTTATCTAAATTCAGAAGAAAGTCTTCTAGATCAGGAAATATTCTGCGAATAAATAAAACCACAGATTTTTTTAAATTCTAGACACCAGCCAAATATAAGTTTTGTCAAAACTAAACCGTAAAACCAATTTGTCATCAGAATGACTAGCAGCTCAAATATGTGCACAATTGCTAAAATTGCGTTTATTAGTTGAACATAAATTTTAAAGATTTTAATCTTTTTTTTCTCTCTTTTTTTTTTTTGTTTTTGAGACTTACAGGCTTCTATCTGGAATGTCCTCCGATGAAGAGTCCGTGTAATTTTCACTATCATAGAATAGAACAAAACACACTTCAGCTTGCAAAATGACATCTTGTACCGCTCAGATGAGCCGCACTGACCTATGAGGAACTGAAAACTCATCAGGCACCATAATTGTGAC